TTTTAATCATCATTATGGAGGATAGTAACGTGCCTAGTACAAGCGCTGTTGTTTCTCACGTAACAGAAATAGAGGAAGTCTTTTTGACAACGTTGTTTCTCGTTGCGTTTCCATCGGTTGAAGCGTTGAAGTCCGCTATCACCAATTATGAAAGATCAACTTACTGTCATTATGTAGTTCGAGATTCGCATTTGTGCAGAAATGAAAACTCGTACATTAAATTTGTGTGCTGGAGACATGGCCGTATAACATCTAGCGGTTCGTCACAGCGGATCAGACGGAGGAGGTAATTTTATAAATGTTATTAACATTTTTTGTCATGAAGGGCTTCCATGAACACTCAATGTCCAGCCTTCATGTACTGTAAGATTATCGACGGCTACTGGACTGTTGTACGTGGGAATGTGCATCACAATCACGAGTGCAATTCCCTGAGGTACCAAGGTAATTCATGGGTGCGCAGGTTAACAGATGCCCAGTTTGAAAATGTGCGACCGCTGCTAATATCTGGTACTGCTTCATTCCACATTAAGAATTATGCTTACCATTCTTATGGAAAACTACTGAATGATCAAGATATCTATAATATGCGGTAGAAAGTGTTCTCACAGGCGAACATTCCTGGTAAGCCATTTGCCAATTTATAATGTAAACGATAGGTGATTACGGAAAATTGCAAGCGCACATAACATCTTTGGGTGGGCTATGCGAATACGAATTAGACGATGAGAACTGTCTATCGTACTTTTTCTTCAGCACTGGTGATCAAAAGATTTTTGCAGACCGTTTCGGTGATGTTATTGGTTTGGACGGAACATACAAGACGAATAACGAGAATATCTAAGTGTTTCGTTCATTAACATTAACCCAGTAACCTTAATTGTAGAGGGTACGATCAGAAGTAATACAACTATTTTTTCGCCTGATGTTTACTCAAACGGTTGAAAGGTAAATCAAAAGCAACATAATATTATTTTGTAGTTTTAACAATGTATTATCGTTGATCGAAATATTGGACGGAACGTTTGCCCGATATGTCAGAGACCACCTTCTACCGAGAAAACACAAATGGTCTACAGCTTTTCGACCATCAGCAACGCTACTTCAACTCAATAATACAAACTTTGTTGAGACAAGTCACCGAATTTTGAAGATGCATCAACTGAGTCGAAAAATACCAGTGCTGAGATCTATCTTTAGTGTGCTACTGCGCGTTGGATATTGGATGGAAGCAAGGTTACAGAAATATACCTCAGACTGCCGGGTAAAAGCCAACATCGGCCAAGAGCCAGCAATGCGTGAACTTCAGGAACGACTGACACCAGCTGCATGTCAAGTACTGAAGCGGCACCTGCGCACTCCTATAACGGAGTTTGTAATGTCTGTTGAGTTATTCACGGCTGTGGACGCAACAGGGACTTACAATGTACACCGTGATTCCATGCGCTGCTCATGTACATTTTCCATTGAAAACGGTTTGCCATGTCGGCACATATTGGCTTACTGTACACACAGTATGACTGATGTGAACTTACAGTCAATTTGTGATAGGTGGTTACACTCTGATACTTATCTGACTCATATTGCAGTTGAGAATTATTTCCCAATGCAATTGAGCCAGCCGAGCATGAAGAATACAGTGATTGCGTTAGTCAGGCGACTGTCTGAGGAACAATGCAGTTCACTTTATAGCCAGTGTTATCATGAACTTCACGGTAGACTAACACCAACGCCGTTGAACTTACAAGCTGAACCGCATTTGTACATTGGAACAAGCATGTCGACTAACTTTACAACGCCGTTGATGCACCGTGGAAATGTCGATTTGGATGAAACGTTAAGTAACGATGACGTAGTTTCTATACACTCAGAAGAGTTAACAGAACGGGACATCCAAAATGAAGAAGATGAAGAGAACCGTTTGTGTGAAATCTGTAATCTTGCACAGCCGCCCTATGAAACTGGTGATGAAGTGGGTTGGGTTTTCTGTCCTTGTGAAGCTATGTTTCATAGATTCTGTGCTTATGACCCATCACCGAACATAAGAGCAGTCCACTGTCCGATGTGTGGCGCCATTACCAACTAATAGTTCAGACGTCCCACCGCGAGAACGATTAAAGGCCCTTTTCAGGGCCACCCACAAATTGATTTAAAGGCATTTTTTCCAATTTGGTTTTTGTCTTTGCCAAAGGTCAAGTGTTTAGGCACTTTTTAATGTCGAATGCATTTAGATATACCTTAGATATAAATAATCTATAAGCGATTATCGCTCGTGTATTCGTAAACTTGTTTCTAATGTATAATACATATAAAGGTTAAGAAAACAGACAAGATTTTGTAATTTAATGAACACTGATCCAATAATTTTAGATGTGAAATAATGTGATTACCGTTCATGCCTTAGTTACATATTTGTAAACTATTTTAATAGGAATATTTTAAAACAGTGAAAATCGTTATTTTGTCGTTAGGTGAATAAATTTATGATAACATTTATTAGTGAATATAATAAGATAGTTACAAAGATGAATGTGATTAAAGCTCATAGAGAAGTAAACACTATGAAGAAAATTAACCTATTTATGAGTAAAATATTGACATAAAACAAGTTGAAACCATCGTCGTTGAAATGATTCATGTGATTAAAGGTCATATAGTAAGTGTTAAAAGATATAAGAATATAATCCGTTTCATGAATACAAAAAACAAGAATTTCATATTCTTGTTTTATATTAAAAGTACATGAAACCAGAACTATGCGTACGTAAGTAGTACGTCCGATCGTCAACTAAGCCTTCATTGTGATTCATAAATACTGATTATATCAAGGAATTCATTTGCACAGCTATATAACTATTATTGACTGCTACAATGTGATTGTAGCAGTCATAAAAATTGTCGTATAATATTTTCAAAAATAAAAAATAGTGTAGCGAACAATCGTTTTCAAAAACTTCATCATCACACTATTCAGTTATAAGCCCATAATTTTTATAATTTATAAAGGCCAACAATAAGGCATGGCATTAATCCATTTGACAATGTAATGTATTTACAATGGTGAACGTTTACATCTATTACGATATATATATATATATATATATATATATATATATATATATTTATATTTATATATACTTACAAATTGTAACATTTGCAAATTAGAAAGGTCATTCTATAATGGCCTGGATTATTGGAAGTAAAGTGTTCAGTGTAAGAGCATAATAGGAAAATTTATAATGCGAAAAAAATTGTGTCAATGAAATACGTAATATGGGAATTGAATCTTGTCAATTTACATAATAATCATATTACTAATAATAATAATAATAATAATAATCATAATAAGGAAAGTGAATAATAATATAATTGTATATGTTCATTGATACAGTTGACCTTATTCATATTTATACGTTTAATGTCGATAGATATTTGTTGAGTCAGTCAGACGACGTAGGCTTGTTCATTTACACTTTATGAAACTGATATTTCAAATGCTTGTCAAAAATGGTTACATTCGTAATGTCTAGACATTGCAGGTTTCATATTACGGTTAACAATCTTCACACATGACTGATGAAACACACACCAGTTTTGATTACGACCAAAAAAATTAATTTTAAAATACAGAACTACAAATAAATCACAAGTTAACACAATAAACCGTGTTTCAATGGACTTTTAAAATGAACCGAATTGACATCTAACCCTTTTTCTAATTCTCATTAAGAATGAACATTTACAAAATAATCGTTTACTAAATAATAAGTGCCTATTTCGGTTAAATTTATTACAACATTCATATACTGTCAAAGTCAGTTCATTAAATGATGGTCTACGGTTGGTTCACCTGAATTATACACATTGCAATCAGTAATTTATCATGATGATTTATTAATATGTTGATTTGTTTCTCGAATTAACAGACCATGTGTTACTCAAAAATCTTATGTACACACTTTGATGATAGTTTGTTTATTAATTGGGTATTCAGCATTAGAATAGCGACCTCATTCAGTAATCACTATTATCAAATATTCAAACCGGTTTTCAGTTGCATTTTTGCAAAAAATTTATTTTTATGTGATACATATAAGTAATCGTGACATTAAAATTTTTGATCGGAAATCAAAAATTTATCACAATACACATTCAGTCACAGTAGGATTGCACAGAGGTTGGTCTTTTTTTCTATAAATTTCTAAATTTCTTACAAGACTTACATTACACAAAAAGATTTATTCATCATCGTTAAATTTCTAATGTAAAAAATGATAATTCTGACATCCAATCACAGCTCTAGATGTGATTTCAATTTCAACAAATCAGATTACAGAGATGAACAATTTACGACCAATAACAAAATTATTAAAGGTGACAAAATGTTTGTTCATTATCACTTGAGCACACACCTGCAAAACAAGTACACCAATCACCGATCTCTAAATTTTTCTTTGACACCATACATTTTTTTAGAAATGGGTGGTAGGGAATCTTAAAGGCCGTGGGCTTAATGTCAACCAAATATAATGCTATACATATGATAATACTAATAACAAAACTGATCAAGGGTTCATATAACTATGATTAACTTTTGAAGAAAAAAAATTATTCAGAAATAAATTGCAGGGATGAAAAACAAAAACAAAAGATTCTTTTCCTAAAAGGTAATAGTCAGTTTCATAAAAATAAAGAATTCCTACAGATTTCTCATTATACCAGGTTAAAATCAATTTAGCCAAGAAACAAGGAAATATCTAAAATGTAAAGTGAATTAATTAAGTTCATATATATATATATATATTTCTTAACCAGAGTTCTTCTATAAGATTGTCGTTCAAGTTGAGATCGCCAGTGAAAATCAACAATCATTAAAATGCTTTGATTATAATAGCTTATATTGTTAATAATTAGATGATTGAACTATGTAATGATTTTATAGTAACACACATTTAGAATATATTAGAAAACAAAAGAATGAAGAAAAAAAATACACTCACTTTTTCCTCTTTTAAAACTTGAACAATAGAATCTAGTTGAATTATACGTCCTTCTAAATCTTCTAAACGTTGTTCTACAATATCTTTACTATTTTGTAAATCAGATAATTGTACTTTTAATTCATTATTCTCTTTGTGTAAACGTTCCACTTCATTACGAGCAGCTACACAACAAGATTCTGGATGACGATGATGATGTGCATGAGACTGAAGTGAATGATCTTGAATATCGTTAGAATTTTCGGCACTGAGAGAATTAATTAACGAATGTTCTGTGAGATTTTTTGGTGAATCAGATGATTTTACGATACTACTTGTTGACTCGGATAGAGAAAGAGGATTACTACCACAACCAGTAACATCAGAATCAGTATTGATAGTACCAGCCGTTGGTACACTAGCTCTATGCTGAGCTATACGACCAGTATGTGGTAAATGTAGCCTACGTGATCCAGGCAATGGACCTGGACGACTTGTAATTGGAGGTATCGGTCCTATTGAATCTGATTCATCATTGCCATCACTTATTTGTTGAGTATGATGAATAGACTCCACTCTTCCAGTGGATGGTGATAATGGAGCTGTTAATGAAACATTACTATGCTTAAATGATGAATTTTCTGTTATATTTTGTTGATTATGTAAACTGCTTTCTTCAATATCCACAGAAAGTATATTATGATCAGATGTAACTGTTTGTATATTGGACAAAGCATTCTCATTTAAATCACCTTCACCAGCCACCTAAATGTGAAATTAAATAGAATAAGCTAGAAAATATATTCAAAAAATATAGTATTATAGTGGCTTCTTTGTTATAACATCTACGTGGATTTATTTAAACTCTAAGGCAGAAAAAATTCTTATTCTGGTCAAGTATTTTGTAAAGGATTATGTTAGTGAATTTGTGGCGTATCTACTTTCCAATGTTTAATACGTGTGAAATATCTAGCATTTCCTAGTTCATTTAGTGAATGGGCGTTGAATATAATTTTCACGGAGAATTTCATTTAAAGATTTTTTCATTCGGTAATTTGAGATACATTACAGTATCTCGTTCAATAAAGACATGAGTAGATAGATGCAGATGAATGAAATGAGATCATTAGTGAAAATTATACTTTTATATGCGGTACTGACCCGGTTAATGAACGAAAAAATTCTAAAAATCTCACTTTTATTAGACACAACAAAAAGATGGTTGTGATCTTCCATATGATCTTTTGTTATACCTTTTGACTGCTGACCAATAATACATACCAAGTAACAAGTCAGAATCCTGATTCTAATTTGGTTTATTTTACACCTACTTTTTCCTCAATAGCCTAGTATCCACAAATTAAACAATTACAAGGCCAGCAAGCACTAGTAACCTTGAGCAAATCCACCTAAGTTCCTATTGGTTCACTATTCGTAAGCTGATATCTATGCTCTGTCTTGGGTCCAAAATTCAACGACCAGCTCTAACTATATTTATATTTCAAACCGACATGATTTACATACAGAAATAACGGACTGCATCACACCATATAACGAAAAATAATAATTACAAATAAACAAGACAAAAGCGGCTATGGATAGGGGAGACTGTAAGTAATAGACTAACAACGAATGAAGAATAGTGAATCCTATAACAGAAAATAATGAGTTAACCGAAAACTTACGGTAAATGGAATATCTATACTCAAATAATACCCTGAGTCAAAGGAAAACGTTTTGATAATAAAGTACAATGTACCTTAGTTTCCAAAAACTCATTGGCCGATTTTTTACCATACATCTATTACAGAATAGTGTCATGTAAAAACTAAAAACATTTTACTTCAACTGATATTTCTCTATCAAGTATGCAAACAGAATTAAAGCAGTTTAAACAAATCAAATGTCTAAAAACATCACTCACAATACAATATACTTTATATTAACTAATAACACTAACAAGAATAATCTCGAATTAATCACAATGGGGAATCAGTTATTAATGATTCGAGCAGAGATATATAAATCAATACGAGAAATTATATTCAAAGTGTAAATTAAATAAACTATTCTGAACTCTTCATTTCATTTCATCAAAATATGATGAAATTACCGGATAATGTTTTTGAAAAAGTATGAGAAATCTATTTTGACGAGACACCATTCACACAATATACGTACGTATGAAGATATTAAATATTTGTAAACTATCGTTTTTTTTATACTATGGACGGTAATTAATCAATCATTTTTGCTATATGTGCATCCTGAGAAGACAAACTCAATAAAGTACTATTTCACAAGCTTTAACTGATAACATTTGCAAAAAAACAATTAAGAAGGAATATTTATATTCAATAACAACAATTTGTATCTAATATATGACATTCTTTACTTAGTGTCTCATCTAACCTTATACTACTATTATTTTAGGTGAGTGATATGACTCATTAATATCATTTACAATATCATTGTTTACTATAAACGATATATATATGCTTCCAAAAACTTTATTCCAGTCTATCAGAAGTTTATATTTTACCCTGAACTCTCTTAAAATATAAAAAGACAAACAAAGAAAGTTCACTTACATTAGGGAGTTTTGTGTGAATGTGAATTATTTGTTTCCACTCAAAGTTTACGCTTATTTTTCTTACAAATTATTTCTATTTAAAACGAGGAACATAAACTGTACATTAATAGTAATATATAAGATACCTTAAAAGTGTGTATTCATGATTCAGTATTGTTGCCATTACTATTATTAGCAGTGGTTAAATTTTGTTTTCAGTCATATTCACAATTTGACTAGGCGAAATACACAACAATAACTACACAATTTATTTTTTAATAATAACTAATCAAATTTGATAGATAAATGATACGTTTGAAAAGATTACGAGACCACCTGATCGGTGAACGGAACGAAGGATCAGAGACGCAACGACAAGACACGCTTAAATATTCTGATGCGTCCCAGCCCCGCTAATTAGATAGAGGAGACATGGTTCACATGAGGAAAAGGTACATCCCATAAGCAAACAGAAGCACGAACAATGACAACCAAACAATGCAAGCGTATATGCATACAGCATAAAAATGTATTTGGGAAACGTCACAAAATAGCATACTGAAAGAGGGAATGAGCCAATGATATTTATGATCCTTTCAAGTGGGAAATACAATCTGAAGGTAATAATGGGTGTCTTTAAAGCGAGAGCTAGAGATTCGAATTTTCAAAATAAAATTACAAAAATAAAACGTTTACCAAGTGATTTCTGGGGAATTAGCATCTCCAACATTAAGGTTAGCAAAGTGTGCGGTTAGGCGTTTGAAGCCGGAGATACTGAGTTCGAATCTCGGTATGAACATCCACAATGGGATGCAGGTACATGCAGTTGATAAATACCTAATAGAACCAGGCGCCCGTCCTAGATTTTACTGATAGCCGCCATTGAACGATGCTTAAAATGCTTGTGACTTAATGTCAATATCGAGGCTACGGCACAGGTGAACTATATATAAAAAAATATTACTTAATTGTAGTCTATAACATTAACGGAAAGATTCAAACGACTAATGTAAATAAATTAAATGTTTCACTGGAGCTTATGTTCAAGTCATAAAACAAAATGAACTATCTATTGGATAAAAATTTATACATATTCTTGTAATTATCAAAGCCGTTTGTTCAACGACTAAAGATCTAATCGGTCTTATTCTCTCTGACTCACACATGATACCTGTGAATAATACATTGACTTCATTTTCACTAATATTATGATTAGAAACACCGCTAGAAAAAAAACAGTATGTGTAATCGTGATGACGATGTTAAAAATGGTAGCATTAATATGTGAGGTCCCAATAGATCGGTATGGTTAAATAACAATTTCACATTAACCACTTAAAAACAATTGTACAAAGCTATGCCTAAATTATTAATGATTTTTTATCACTGAAAGTGATATTGAAAGTGTTATTCTTAGGTGGTAAATACTTATCGACTGAGATGATTAAGAAATATGTTAAGTAGGTTTAACTACCACCTACGCCCACGAGCAATGCTTGTTAATGACGTACTAGGTTCGAAAAATGTTAGGCACAACTAAAACAAAATGTGGTATCAGTTCATCACGTCATTGACTATTGGGCTGAGCCATTCTGGCAGATTTTGACTACCTAGTTGAGGTCCATGAGATAATTGTAATTAGTGGTTAGGTAATTTAGATGGCATAGCTCACAACCGTTCACAATAACCCAAATCCATTCACTCTTCATCTTTCCTATCGATCGTCAATTCCAGTTTCTCTTCATACATACATTTCAAGCTGTATTCCAAAGTCGAACCTTTCTTTATATCATTGCTACTACATTATTTCGACGATTTTGTTATTCTTATCTCTCTATCCTAATCCAATGTAGCAACTTTAGACAACACACATCTGTGCCAAAATCTATGTTGATGAAATCTGACTTTCTATATTAGAAACGGGATTGAACAAACAGAATTATTCATTGTATTTATTAATCCAAAACTTCTAACGAATACATATGATATAATCAAACTCATTAAGCAGGTACTTGAGTATGAGCCACACTCGAAGTGTTTGGGTTAATGATACTATCCGATTGCTCCAAGTGAAATAGGAGGAACTGGGTTTGAATCTTGGACTTGGCAATTGAAAGTTTAACACCTTAACCAATAAGCCAGTACATTTTAAATACTTAGTTATAACAGTATCAGAGAGATAAGGATAAATATTAAATTTTACAATTTATAATTGATAGGTGGAAATCTTAAAATTTATCTTGTATATGAAATGATAAAATGATAAAGCACTAATTTCTATCTGATTTTTAATGCACTTGAAAAACTATACCAGTAATAGTTGAACAATAAGAATTTCAAGGAATCATGTGTAAATTAGTTTTAAAAGAAAAATTTTCAAGTTGAATGTGTTCATTTTTCACTAAGAAACAAAAGCACACTATAACTAGAGAACCCTTGAAAAGTAGAAAGAATTAAATCGGTAATTCACTTTAGAATTATAAGTTAATTGTATGAAAACTAATTTATCAAATATAGATGAGAAATTATTAATTGATACTGTTTAAGTCGATATTTTACCATAACACTTAATTTATTTAATACATATAAAATCATATACAGTAGTATACCGATAATCTATGTACTACACAAATAAGGAGATAACATTATGAATAAATGAAAGGAAGCACAATCAAACGATAATTGCTAAGTTGACCTCAACTTATCTAGTTTTTTTATGATAAATGTAAATTTCCTTCTGCTAACAAAAACTGTATCAAGTGGTTATTAAATGGCATAAATTAAGATATATCGTAATAATGCAAAATAAATTCATTTCTAATTTTCATCTAAACACTAATCTTCAATATCATACATCCGTTCTGTTTCGTAAATACATTCGTTCTTTTCAAACTATGGTCTTCATATTTATCTATTTTATTTCTTCATGTATATAAACACAAAAACATCGGTACAAAAGAGCAAGAAAATATATATGCGCCAAAAGAAGAAAATTATTTGTAGGCTGGGATACTCCCTGGGTCCCCAAACCGAAGCCGGAGGTTTTCCAGAACATTTGACCTAGAAGTCTAATCCACAAGGCAATGGAGCAACGTTAGAAGGTGCGGTCATATGATAGCCGGTGACCAATAATAGGCTCATATGCCATATGTTCCCTTAGTATCCTGGAACCCATCTACACCATGTTCAACTCCCCTAGATGAATCGTCTGTAACTGCAAACGCAATCCAAGCGGCGTACATTCGCTTTCTGAACTCTCAACTTCGTAAACAGCACCCTCATCCCGAGGTGGTATGACTTCCCTGATAGTGGCTATATACGCGTGTCCATAAGTATTTCGGGAGAAAAAGCAGAACCTCCCCATCGTCGGCTGTACCGGGGAATTTCACTAACCCTGATATTACAACTATCATGATCTCTTTGATATTTAACTACTCAGTTTTTTCTCTTTTACTGTACTTTTGAGAAGTGTAAGAATTCATCTAATAGTTAATTAGTGTGTGAGTTTGTGAGTGAATGAATGAATGAATACAGATGATGTGAGAACGAGTTATTAATGATTAGTTCATTATCATTGAGAGCATTCATTAACCTTACCGGTAACGTAAATTTTCTGTATTTGTTGATCATTAAAACATGTAATTGTTGTTTTAACGTATTAACTATTTTCAGGTTAGATTTTCAACACAGTGAGTTTAAACTAACAAATAAAAATAGAAAACCGTAATTAAACAAAGTGACGAGATTTTTTTCTACAATTACCACTTACCTGATCATATACAGGGTCATCACGAGAACGAACGAATTTCTCCAATAACATTTCCTTTTTTGCATTCACCGGTGGTGATGATGATGACATTTCTAATCGTAAATTTTCATGATCTGGTAAATTCTCCGAAATCAATCTTTCTTGTAAAATATCATTACATTCATTATTTAATTGTTTATTTAAATTATCACATGGACTACTACTACCATCACTATTATTAGTACTATGTAAACGTTCAACATCATCTATATGATTATCTTTTGTCTTAGGTGATGGTAACGATGGTAAAGGACCATTACGACGCGCAACAATAAATTCATTCAATTGTTGTCGTTTATCTGTATTAAAATAGTCTGTATATGAATGTTGTGTTTTTCGTGATTTTTTGAAAGACATTTCAACAGTTTTTGCATCTGGAGCAGTAACAGCTGTACTAGTCGGATTTATTACATTGGTCAATGGTAAAAATAATGGCAATAAACGTATTGATGCTTCAGTGAGAACATCTAATGTTAAAGTATGAAATTCAATAGTAGATAGTCGACCTAATTTTTGACGTGCTTGATTACGTACTGATGAATAAGTTGTATTTGGAGGTAGAAAAAATAGCGTTAAATTAGTAATTGCAGATGTTTGATGTAGTGTTGTTGTCTTATGTAAAGATGGTCTAGAGTCAGGTCTGGTCTCTTTAACTATACTATTATGTAGTTCATTCTCTGTGCTGACGTTGTTGTTGTTATGGTTGTCGTCTGCATCAGTTTTGCTAACATTAGAACCATTGAATACTGAATAGTTGTTGAAATGTTTCTGATTATTAAATGTATCCAGATTTTCAAGAAATGAATTTGTTAAACGACGATCTGCTTCATCATATACATCAATACATAAATCCTGTAATCAAAGAAGAAAAAAACACGATTCACATTAAAAACAAACCAGATATTTTATTGTGTACTTCATAATTTATAAAAAGTATGGTTACAAAAGAAATCGTTGTACAGTAATCGATTCAATCGTCTAACTTCATTTCTGTATGAACAACATTTTCACTTCAATTTAAATACTACTTACAAATATTAAATTTATATATTAAACTTACTTATAATTTAAAATAAACTTTTTTCCTGAGTGTTTGCATAACGAATTAAACTTGACGTACTTTTCATAAGAAAATTACAAAATTTAATCGAATTGCATTACAATCAAATGAATAGAAATAGAAAGAAAAAAACAACTAGCCCAAAATGTCTGTCAAAATTAGTTTCTTTTTCATGATCGAAAATTGAATTTATTAACTTACAATTAGTATAAGAGAAGTCATTTGATTTTGGTTTTAATATACACAAGATTTATAAGCAAATAGAGATGGTGACTAGCAGTAGAATCAAGAACGTATGTTTCGTCCAGTTTGGGGCACTTCAGTTGGATGTACCTGCATCCCAAATTTGATATTCACTTAGGAACTCAAAGCTAGTACCGTTCGCTTCAAACGTCATCGCCATCCATTTAAAAAAAAGTTTATTTGTTGGAGAAAACCGGAGAAGTGAAATGAAATTCAATTTACATGTGAACATGGAACGTCTACAGAGAAATAAATGTATTGACCAAAAACACTAAAAACATAATTTAATGAAAGTTTTTAATTTGACTCGATCACGATCAAACATGTTTCTTTCAATGTAAGATCACACTAAATCAACTCGGTGAAATGAAAGTATAAAGATTAACATAAGTAAGTGATAAAAAAGACTATGAAAATCTCTACTGTTTTTAGTCATTTAAAAAACCCAAAAGACATGAACAAATAATTGTGAATGTAAAATCGAGTGTATTACAAAGTATATGTGTTGTTTAACCATTATTATTACATGTCTTCAAATAGTTTGATAGTTCATGAAAAGAAATTATCCATTAGATTTAAACGCATCTTTCCTTAGAAATTGTTGAAATGGTTGTAAATAGAGTTATAGATGACTCAAAAAGATTCTCACATTTATAATATACACTCTTGTAATGTTTATTCTTATTTCAGAGGAAAGTAATCATCAGAATTTAAACATGTGTATTGTGAATTATTCTTAAATGTTTATTAGAATAGATGCCGTAACTTTTTTACAAAAAGAATTATTTATTTGATTATCAACTTTGAAGGGATAATGAAACACTTCTCTTTTTTTTAATTGATTTCTTTCACTAATTCACAGTATAATCAAAATGTTACCACCTTATCTAGTACTTCATTGGTTTGTCATATAACTTCCCATGTACCCCATACGTTTACACAGTCGTCGATGAATTAATTCCTTAAAAATTCGATTTCATAACTAGTTTCTATTATCAAATTTGAAATGGTTTAAGTTATCCCGTTATTTTTGACTAAAATTGGTTTAGTCTTGGTTGGTATACGGGATTACCTAGATAAAGCCATCAAGATACAAATTGATATAGAATAAATAAAATGTAGCTAACAGTGAAATCCAGGACGTGTATTTCGTTTTGTTTGGAACTTGTCAGATGGATATATCTGAATCTCAGAGTTGATTTTCATTCCGAAACTTTAACCCAGCACCGTTTACTTCAAATGGCATTGTGCTATTCACTTAGCTACTGAGTTTAGACAACCAATCACTTGTGCAATGGATATGCAATTCAATTCAATTCTTCACTGAAATCCATAATTATCCAAATGATAATTATCATTTCAGTTCGATATATGCTTTCTTGATGATAGACTCGTTTGTATAGTTAAACTTTTAATTATGAAATGTAGCAGTACATATTTAGGCATTGTTCTTATAGTTTTGTCTATTCTCCAAATAGTAAATACAAACGATTTCAATTGATTAGTTGTTTCTGTTGGCATAGATTTATCTTGAGTGGAACCTAAAAAACTTACATCTTACTAACAATTATTCTATGAATTTTATTACTATTATTCGTTTTCATTGGATAAACAAAACAAGTAAATATCCGCTTTCGTCAATTAGACCACAATAAGTGATTACAAGTACTATTTATTTCGGTTTGTAATTTATGTGATTGATCATAAATATGAAAATAAGCACAATTGAAGTCTCAATAGATGTTTATTTTTGTGAGATTTTTGTTTCAAAATTGAACGACTTATTTATATCATTAATTATATGCTAATTAAATTTTTTTAAAACGCCAAAAACTTAGAATATTAATTGATAAATACCTAAAAAGCTTTAATTTAACTCCTTCACGAGGAGTAACAGGCGTAAGTAAGTAAGTAAATCAACAAATATGAAACAATTGATTAAAACCATGTAAACTAATTTATCTAAAGAACAATAAATCAACTATTATATTTGGTGTTGTGGATGCGAAGGATAGACCAATAACTATCATGTTAAGTCCAATGGTGTCCTTGGACTTTAAATGGACATTTCCTACTGGTCGATATCTGTCCACTTGTTGAATATGGTACAAAATGTTGTTTTCTATTTTTATGGTACGATGTGGTATGTTTGGTTAGTATATAAATAGAGTATGTCTGAAATACAATGATTCATAACTCAGAGGCTGAGATTTGTGTTCTGGACTCAACTGGCTGGGGGGTAGACAGGGAATCGGGACCAATCGTAACTCTAGGTCGTCCATTACGTTCGTACGTGTCATTGAGGCGATCGATAAATACGCTGTTCTCTAGTTTTTTCAGTCAAGGACACAACAGTTAGCACAGGGTAAAAATCAACCAACAACTTGAAGTCACAACATTTGGTTTTACGTTCTATACTCTTTTTAACAGCCCTCAAATGACCTGGTACGACTGAGGGTGGGGAGTCAGCTCTCTCAAAATGCTTTCACATGGCCACGAGTAGACAGCCACTGACAATGAAGTCCCTTGTTTACGAAATTGAGAGGAACAAAATCGAGTGTCCGGCTCTTTAACCGGGTTGGCAGACACGAAGAGTTCACCTAGGGGGGAACTCTGATTCCACATCAATAGTGCACGTGAGCTCCAGGATCCTGAGGGAATAAACGGCATATGAACCAATTCTTGGTCAACGGCTACCATGAGAATGCATCTGCTGACGTTGCTCCACTACTTTGTGGATTAGACCTTTAGGTCGAAGACTCGAAGTGTGGCCCCCTAAGGAAACCTCCTGCTTCTGTTTGGGCGCATGGGCACTATTTCAGCATTTATACAAAGTGAGTGACGAAGTGTGGAGCAAATATATTTGATGCCTTTTTGTACAAATGTTTATGTGTTTAAATAAATACTTTCCAACAAGAACCAACACGAATATTTGTAAGAACCTACATATTAAATGATTACTTAATAATTAAAGTGGGTTTGTACAGATTGTTGAATTTTATAGCTGACATCACAAAATGATATCAGTTAGACACTCATCAAAATCCAGGGAGCATTGGTCAGCTGTTATGTCTTAGTATGGAATTCCTCAAAAGTGTACATCCATGTCCACGCACTGTTTATCGAACCCAGGACCTTCAGTTGTCGCTAAGTACCAGGTAACACAAACTGATTGAAGTTAGGAGCATAAGCGCTTAATACGACACTTAAATATCCTGGGCTCGATAAACGGTGAGACGACATGGATGTGTAATTCTGAGGAGTTCCCTACTAAGACATAAAAGCTGACCAGTGCTCCCTGGTTTTTGATGATTGTCTATGATGAATCCGCAATATAAAGTATGAAATTGAGGTAGTTATGTATACTGTTGACTTTCAAATAAGCAATCTTGCCTTTTATTTCATAAATTACATAACGTTAGGAAGATATATATATTATTGTCAGCATTACTGACTAACAAAAAGGATCCGATGAAGATGTAAAGGCAAGGATAAGCAAAGCAAGGTCAGCATTACTACAATCAAAGAACATTTGGAACTGTCAACCAATATCAAATTGAGATTCTTCAACACGAACGTCAAGATAGTTCTACTCTAAGGAGCTGAAACTTGAAGAACTACCTGTGCGAGAGAACAAACCAGGTTCTAGCTAAGGAGGAAATTGGGAAAAGATGCTGGAAGTGGATAGGATATACATTGAGGAAAACAACAAACTGCATCACGAAGCAAGCGCCGCTCCATGAGGGGTAACAGATGTAAGTAAGTAAGTAAACTATGTTGATACACGGATTATTCTTTGAGCGGATGATTTAATGTTATATAGTGTATCACATATTTGGAATGGTTAGCAATAAAGGTCAGGAAGCGTATTGCATCCTGTTCGGATCCTGTCAGTTGGATGTACTTGTATTCTAATATTGCTGTTCACGATAAAACACAAACCCAGTGCTTGTTTCAAATATCAACGCGTTATTTATCAAACTACCTAAGCTATGATAATACCAAATTGTATGTTTATTTCCGGGAGATGAAGATAATAATAAGCTAGTAGTTGCAAACTTTATACTTACTAACACTCGTTATCACATAATTTTGAATTATCGTTATTCAATAATAGAGCCCTTATTGTAAGATGACCCTAAAAACTTCCGATGTAATAACAAAAGGAAGAAATGATGAAGTTTTGTAAGAGACAACTGATAGATTTGCAAATGAAGTATTCAATGTATGATTTTCGTATTTTACCAGGACATTCTGCAACCTTGCATTAACTAATAAATTGGTCTTTCCCTGCCTGAGATCTTCATTCCCTATAATAACATTGAATAATTCACCAGATTATAGTTACAAAAGACCAATCCAGTTCAAGGTTATCAAAATACGAATATAAGTAATTGTGGAGAAATTTACTAACTTCTTCAATACATAAAACTAGGGAATGTATTCACAGCTCACACTAATATTTTGGAGTAGAAAATACATAGCTAAAAAAACACTTCAGTGCAATAGTGAAAGAGTGCGAGTATTTAGGTAGTTAACACTCTATGAGGCGTTGGACAGTGTAACGATTTGAACACATTTCCTCACAACTGTAATGCACAGCCTCATAATTATGACTAATGATAATTGAAAGGTCTAACCTTAATCGCACAGATGTCCAACGTAAGGGTAAGGCATCTAAGACAATTTTATTAATGTAATTCCATCGTTGCTTACTAACGATTCGGAAAACGTATTTCAAAAAGTGCTTAAACTGAGAAATGGTATCAGTTTATAGAGTTATTGACTATCGGACTCAGTTGTATAGGCATGTGTAAACGACCTAATTATGATCCATGAGATTATTGTGACCAGTGGCTGGAGGCGTTAGGTGACATGACTCAGAACCGCTCTCAATGATCTAGATATTTATTATTTCCCTTAAAACACTTTTATTTCTATTCCACAAATCCATTCTTTCTTCGTGAGTCATACTATGCATCCACAATGTTTTCTAGTAACACTGATACTTTTACTACCTCTACTACCCTGGGATTTGCCTCGATAATTTTATCTTACTGTATTGCCAATTGTGGTATAGCAACTTGAAGCGAAGCAAATATGTACTAGGTTCGATGTTGTTTATAACTAACTGATATTTGGCTCATAGTTATCAAAATAGAAAAAAGAAAGCAGAAACAATAGCTAGATTATTTCATCCATCATTTTACGTGCTTTGGAACGTACATGTGAACTGGTAAAGATAATCAGAGATAAAATAAAGCGGGTATTTGTCCACATTTAATCGTCGCAATAAGCATTTAGTTTGGTATGAAAACACCAACAATTAAGTTCGAATTAAACTAGTTGCTCAACTAGTCTATATTATATAATCTATCTTCAGTTTAAAAATAATTTCTATTTATATGCTCTCCTAGAATACTTATGAATAAAGCGAACGTTTGAATAATGTTAATTATTCCATATTATTATCTCTTAATATTATTCCATCTCCAGATTCTAACTCAATTCATTCTAGATATTTCATATATAAAGTATGTACACTTACTTCGTTTTAATGGTTTTAGGTTTTAAGCAGCTGAGGAGAATCCATGAAATAAATGAATTTGTGTTATTCTACTACGAACTTTGTTCTTTTTTTTAATTAAAGTTTATAAATTGGGAAAAATTTTATGAAGCACACAAAACATTTTACATTTTGAAAGAAAAACGAATGAACGAACGAACAAACAAACGAAGAACTTACGATAAATGCATTATTAGATAGATTATTTAATCTTCCTCTAGCTTTAATGATCCAATCTTCTTGGTCGTCTGCTTGTTCAACATTTGAGGTAGCAGTAGAAGTAATAGTATGTCCAGAAGAATTATTCAATTTTAAATTCGTTGATTTCGGTGCCAATGATGTACCATTCAATTCATGTATTAATGAAGTTGAAATTAAGAAATGACCATTTGTTATTATTTCACTGTTATTATTACTCACTGATAGTTCATTACTATGATTTATATTTTTATTGATTCCACCAAAAACAGCTGCTTTATGATCAGGTACATGACGTGTAAGAAAATAAGCTAAACTATCTGTCAAATCATAATACGCTGAAACTAATACATCAACCATAGAAGACCAAGCAGATTGTAACCTCTCTTCGTTTGACATTGTTGCCATCTTTTCTTTAGAAATAATCGATTCATTTAATGCTAATGCTTTGTCTAATGCTAACTGAAAGAGAACGAAAGAGAGATAGCAAGAAAGAAAGAAATGAAGAGTATATTTATAAGGAAGTCTGATTCTAAAACTGACAAGCTCTTCGTCACGTGTACGAACATTATATCATCTATTAGTATCCTGTGTTGCATAGACAAGTAAGGAAACCTTATTGTTTAAAAAGAAAAACAAATTACATTGTTAGATGGATGTACCTGAATTCCATAGTGGATTTTTATTCTGGAACTCCAATCCAACAACTTCCAGAAGACAATATTGAGAATAAACTATAACTTAGGATGAATGAAGCTCTAGAAATTTTCTTCAGTGTTCTCGATATTCAACCTAAATAGGATTCATCATTTATTTTGATGATAAATACTTAATTCACAGTATAAATAAGCAGGTAGAAAGAAAAAAAACATGTATTACGGTTATAACTTGTCGTTTGAATGCTTATTGTCTTAGCTCTTTTAATGCTACTTTTTGTATCTGGTCGTCGCTGATTGTTATGTCGGAAACGCTTATCACTTACACTCGGAACGAGGGACCTCTGCAATTCCCATGACGCGAAGGTAAGAACACAAAGAAAATACACTCATTTATATACTGATGGCACACCCATTTTGATTGATAATTAGGATAAAATCACATATATGAAAAATACTTAGAGTTATAACACAGACTGATTATAGTTCGTGTCAATGGAATACAAGAATATCGTATATTATACAGAATAAAGTATCATACGAGAAAAGAAAACCAAATACTACATTGAGTCATCATTACATTGAATCACAACGGAAGTAATCTTGAACAAAACTCATAATGAGTAAATCAATCGAAAATTGACTTTTCTTCCCATCATATCAAATCTTCCCATGAACCCTTTCACACTGAGCCCTCTGAACTTGCAGAAAACATTTAAGATCATACAGCGAGATCAAGATTAGAGTATAGCAGATATCTCGTTGCCAGTTGGTATGACTAACGACCTACATTTTGAGAAAAACGACGACTGTTATCCGCATTACTTTATCTCAGCAAATGGTAAGAATATCAGAAAATAGATAGCCCGTAATTGTGGTTAATTATTATCTTTTAAAAGTATTTATGTACATTTTAATTAACAATTATGATGAAAAAGTGATTAAACAATTCATGCTGATTAGTTCCATAGAAGAGTAAACTGTCCAGTGGGATTACCCAGTTCACATCACAGTAATAATCAAAACTTATATTAGAATCACCATAAGCTCATCTAATAGAGACCTAAGATTATGATCGCTAATTAAACTAGTTCCTGTCAATAACATTCAACTATTTGTAGGATATAAATGTAATCCTTTCATTTGTGAAATATTGTTTTATGGACTTTTTGGTATATACGCTAATATACGTAAATAATCTAAAGCCGATGCTAATCTGATTTTTCACAATTGTTTTAATAGATCTCGTCTAACTGTCGATAGTCACATGTCACCACCAACTCACTGATCACCACTCGTCAGTCTGCGGTCACTCTGAGGACTGAACGTGTAGCCCACTGTTGGTGAATCAGGAAGGATGGAGAGTGAGTAAACTCTGTGGCATCAACCACCGCACCAAGTGGTTGTGATGACAGGTAGTTTGGATTTAGAAGGTGAGAACGCTTCACGATTTTGTGCAGGGGCCATGCTAATCTTCTCTGTATCGTTCCATTTTTAGTATATGTACTGCCAAAGCGAGTGGTGACATGTGACTGAACTGTCGATAGTATTCTCAGAAAAAAGGCTTATTTCTTTAAGAAAGTGACTGTGTTGTTTGCAAAGGTCGATAATCGTCCCTATTTTAAAAAGCGTTCACGTCACCGATGCAAGAACTATCGAAGAATAAATCTACTTCCGATCGCATCCAAACTATTGGCTTCTGTCATTCTACGTGGATTGTTCAAAACCCAGAGAGATTGACTCGCGAGGAGCAGGCTGGTCTTCATTTATATCATCACCCTCCGCCAAATGCTAGAACACCGTCATATTTATTAAAAGTCAACAATCGCAATGTCTCTTGACATCAGAGCTGTCTTCGATTCGTCGGACAGGACTGTTCTCTGGGATTGTCTATTGAGGAAGGGTGTACCTGAGGATCTCATTAAAATCTTGAAAGTCCTATTTACAAATACCCCAGACAGGGTGGGAGTATACAACCACCTATCTCAATTGTTCCATTCAAGCAGTGGTGTCAAACTTTACTATCGATGATGTTATGGAAACAGCTCTGATGGATGTAGGCAGTGGCGATGTAGATCTGCGGCCTGGAGAAATACTCCTCGACCTTGAGTATGTAGATGATATTGTTTTGCTGTGCGATAATACCTAAGCCATGCAATCCGCATTTAATGAGCTGGCAATCAGTGTTTGTAGGTATGGTATATGCTTCGCACTTCAAACGTGCTCAGTTCGGTGACATGCGACATGCGTTCGGAAAGTGACGACAGTTCATTTTGGTGTCACCATATTGAAACACCGACTTCGGTGGCTTGGATATGTACCAGAAATGTCGTTCCAGAGGAATCCACATCGCGCGTTATTTGCCGATACTGGAACTGGTTGGGAAAGTAAAGAGGTGGTCAGTGTGTAACCATGGTGTCGTGGTATGATAGGAAGTTGTATAGGACTAGCATATGTCGGTCCTTTATGACCCCCTGATTGGGGTCCTAGAGATAGTGCAACACGTTGGCTTGAGGCTTTATCAGATATGGACCAGAATAGAAGCCAGTGGCGATCCTGATGTCACTTTCTTTTACATTCTCTTTGAAAGTTAGAGGGACTTATTTGACTGAAAGAATTCTTTCTGGTTGTACCTCTGCTAACTGAACTGCCCCTCTCATTATTATTATTTCACAATTATACGCTAATTTCTGTTCGTTATTGTTCCCCCTTTTCTTACACGCACTTTACATTCTCACTGTTACCGCGTAGCGCATATTTGGTGCCTCTTTGTACCAATATTTGTTTTCAAATAAACAAATGATGTATTAAATGTCATTCAAAATGGTGGGATAGTTTATCTTTGATTGAAAAAAGAAAGAAATAATACAGTGTCCCTCCATGTTATTATCTGATCAATAAGGAAACTGGTGAAATTCCTCATGATAGGTTAGTTAGACTACACTCCCATGAAATAATACACACACACTTTCATTAATAGATAGATGTACATCACATTATCGATGATGATGAAGTGTATAGTGTGTATATATTTCTATATCTAAAGGTATCTAGATGATTATAAGATCAAATATTTCTTTGGATAGGTTTTCCATGTATGGAAACTTCAGAGAATTTAAAAAGGTAATTTCTGTCACAAACTGACATTGATTGAAAGACTATACTTAAATAATACGTTAACTTATCGTTTTATTTTCGCCAAGCTTCCAAAGGTATCCTGTCATGAAGTTTTAATAAGAAGTCAAGAGTATTAATATAACTGGAGGGATAAGCAATAGTAGACAATGATTTCGACTTATTAAGGAGGCAGGCATTAAGAATCTGGCTGTTAGTCAAGGTGTTTCGGTAGACAACGGGACTATTATTCGCTCATAGTCCACATGATTAAATCTACTGACAGAACACTTGAAAGAACAGTTCAAATTGCCTCCATTTACCTTCTAGTTACCTCACTATCATTTAACAGCCTGAATGGGAAATTGATACGTCTCCCGGATCTTAGTGGCTAAAAAGACCATATCCAACCTGAAGAGATGCGGAACAAGACCCGAAAGATTGACCCAGGAGAATTTTAAGGATGATGGTTCAATCTTAAAAACTAAGTTGACTGATATACTAACTGGACTTTGAGATCTACGCCTAGTCCTATCTGACTCTTCTTGACTGCTGGTAAACTTGTGAAAAAGAACGGATATATATATAGTGTTGTAGTGAACGAAAACGTTAAGTACGGATGACCAATTTATTATTTAATACATTACAGAGTATCTACGTAAAATATTAAAACCATATATTTAACGCTTCATTTGCAAAGCTCCTATCAATCGTCTCTTACAAGCTTCACCGTCCCTTCATTCCTTTTTATTACAATTGCTCTCTATTTACATTCCCGTTCTCTTCAATCCGACCTCAACCTTATTTGTTCGGATTACTGGTTGGCACAGATAATAAATAGTGGGATGGAACTGAAATGTATTTTTTTAACTATTATTATGATGCTGATATGGGGGTAGAAAGTTATGAAACTTAATTCAAAAGTTCGAATATAATCGAAAATTGAGTTTCGAATAGCCTAGACCAAGAAATGATAAATAAATTTAGGGATTGCTTATGCCATACAAACTCGTTCAATAATATATACATCAGTCTTGACTTTCAATTTGACCAAACGATCATGTATTTTAAGGTATTTTTTTATTTTTTTTTATATTTTATTTATTTATTTAAATAAAAATATTGGCACAAAAGGGCACTGAATGCACATAAACTACACAAGTTCATTGATTTGTGTGTGGGCTGATACTGCCCGGGTGCTGACGTTCAATAAATTTATAGCAAAAAATTCAAATCAAGAAAGTGCATGACTTAGTTGAGCCCTTTCAAACTAGACATCTGATGCTCGGTATCATTCTTACTAAGACTTACACATTTTGTATGATTAGATACTTTCTATCAGAGTCTAGAAGTTAAAATAAAACCAGATGAGTGAATCTCATCGGCACATAAATAAACGGTTGATACGCCTAGTGATAAAACAGTCTCAGAACATTTTTTAAGAACTTACATCAATTACACTTTTTCCAGATGAATTACGAATACAAACATCTGCCCCATAAGCTAACAGCAATTCTACCTGACCAATTTGACCATATTGACATGCAACATGAATAGGTGCTGTGCCTTTGATTGGATGAAGAAAATTTGGATTTGCACCCTAAATATTTCCAATAAAAAGGTGAAAGATACAGTTTCTTGAAATATAAAGGAAACATATGAGAGCAGGAATTAACAACATTGTTTCTGAGTGGAGAACAATTCAAATTATTCAGCGAAACTGAGACATCGAAGATTCCTGGCTTTTTACAATACCTATTGCTGGATTTTCATCATTGGCTAATACACCATTCAACAAGGAAATGGTTATTGAACTAATGATAAAAATGTTTCATCCCAGATTACAATTACAATATTTCCCACTACGTTATGAGTCATATTTATTATCTTACAGGTAAGAACACTATCCAGCTGTTCAGAATGAAACTGAGTTTGAGATTTGACAGCTGATAATTGGGGAATCAAATCATCACAGACAAATGCCAGACTAGCATATCATGCTAATAAAGGCTCTGGAAAATAAAGTTTATGGGTGCGTTCTGAGGGTGCGACAATTTGCACTGATGAATTATTGCATCGTAATATACATTTACCTTTACTAATCACTGAGTTCCAACCAATGTTAAAGTTTTCAAGTCCTGATATCAATAATATCCAACCGCCTAACATACAGATGCGGTCGACTTCACATTACCCCTATCAGTAAATCTACCACCTATAATCCATTTTTATTTCAAACCACATTTAATGTTAAGACTAACCATAGATGAGTAACAATTCTCAACTGTCGCAGTTGCTGTGGATCGCCGTTCCACAGCTAACCTGGCAACACAACTGGAAAAAAAGAATCACATAAGCGGATAAACACACTTGAATAAAACAACTTAAATCATGAATTTCGTCTGAAAAATAGACCAATCACTTACCAAAGCAAGTAAATACAGACTGGTCTCTAAAACTCCTGTCCTTACACTAGCATGGAGTTGCTGGTTTAAATCATCATGGTTAACGTTTCGTGGTTTCTTAAAAAATCCCAAAAACAAATACTTTTCACGTATAAAATCAGCTTTGGTGGGATGCACGGGATCAGTAGGTAAAGGTTTTTTATGAGGATGAAACGCTTTGCAGGATCGATTATCCGAATTTAACCCAGCAAGCATAGGTTCGTACAGTACATGTTCCCAATACCCATTCGCACCAGCAGACGCCAAATAGCGTACCATAGAAAGTTGTGACGGCCTCCAGCGTGATTTCTCAAGATGTTTAACCTATATTTTTATTAATTAAGACCAACCGTAGAAAGAACGAACCTGGCTTATATGTCTTCCTAGCTGTCGGTGAATGGAACTACATTCATCACATAACAGTACACCTCTATTGACAGACGCCCATTTTGGGGACGATGCACTACAGTCGGCGCAAAGATCCGCTTGGGTATTCATACTCGCTCAGCGAAATTCATCAAAATCCATCACTGGAGGAGCTTAATAAAATTATATTATAATAGTAATGATAATAATGAAACAAATGAACTTCCCATTGGAATTACACATAATAAACGTAAATCATTAGATGTAACAAGGCAGTAATGTATGCATTTGTCCAAGAGATCCAGTTGTTGCGAAATCCCTAATCCTTACACACGTTGTACAAGTTTGTGAATTCGAAACTACTAAGCTACGAACACTAATAGCATGAACACAAAGATAATGTGGTTAATTGGCCCAAGAAAAAGGCTTAAATATAAACTGACCAGAAAATAGAGTTTATTCTTATTGTACACTTTTAGGGTACACATATCGTGATAGAAGTAACAGTAGTCATTTTCTAATCTAAATATGTGCATTTACTTAACTAGCAAATTATAATGCTTAAATAAGTTTCTCAATAAAATCCGAAGTAACTAATAACCAAGATCTAATGATATATTAATACATAACTCATCAAGTTCAGATGCATGTTATCGGCTTTCAGTCATAATGATTTTCCAAAAGTTATGATACTACCAAAATATCTAAATCACAGTAAATGGAGTGGATTTTAGACCTAACTGCTTTAGTCATGATACCACATCCACATCTTCACTATAAAGGTTTTACCAATACATTGAGTTAACATTTTGTCAATAAATATTCACTCTCACTTTTTAAATATTCAAGCCTAAGTGTAACAAAAACACTTTAAATGAGTAGCTGTTCACAGCTAACCACTATTTTTTTATTCAAGTCAATATTTTTCAACACGACCAATCTGGGAAGAAACATCTTATTGAGAATCAATATCAGAAGTCATATGATTTAACATAAAAAAGGTTTCTCAACTATTAGAATTTTAGTGGTTCCTTAACTTGAGTCAGTTTATGATGGAACTCATCTTCACATTACAGACATTTTAAGAACCACCAGCCCTAATAACAATTCTCTAAGCAATAATATGTTGCTATTGGCGATTAAACTATCACAGAAGGTGTCCCTAACAATTAGTGGAGGGTGAATATATGATTAATATATCCTCGATCAAACGGAAAACCAACCTGCTACCCGCAAGTTAATCAATCACGGACTTGAATAATCTGAGAAGTATGATACAAGTCAATATTTTGGAAATAATTGAAAGTATATTTATCCCCTGATAGTTTTTGCATAGGTGACGTAAGCACTTTAAAGATTAAAACAACTACCACTTTATTCCATGATAGTAAGGCACTTTTTAAACCCCAAACTTTACAAACAACGCGTTCACTTCCCTGATCAGAAGTTCGCCACTATTCTTAGGAACAACTGGAGGTATATCATCTAGACCTGATGAGTTATGGCTCCTTAAGAGTTAGTCTCTTCTAACGGACCCCTCCAGAGAGTTGATCGCGTTATGATCCATAAGTGTCCACTGTTGAGCAGATGTTGAGGGTGCTTGGCAATCAAATGTTTCAGCTTATGCATAAAGCTTTTACTTGTTAAGAATAGACGATTACCTGAGTATAAATGAAAGGGACGGTCACTTTTACCCGTAACTTAGGTCGGGATGCCAGAAGACCCACCTACGTGTTCTTTAATTTGACTTGGACTATTAATACACCTACGAATACTATGTCTGAGCACCTAGTTTGCTGAAGGTAAGGAAGCTTATTTGAAAGTAGGTCTTTTGTTCCAGTCGAGGTGCAGATAGTGGAGATATAGGCAGAAACGACGAATAGAGAGTGATCTATCTGTTTTTTTCCGAATTCCCACTGTACCATTGTGCTGAGACGGACAGTACATAAGTAACTGTCAGCAGAAATCCAATCCACAAGAGCCTGTTGTCTAAATTAGTGCCTTACGTACATCAGTAAGACCAGGATCAACTGCTTTTGTGCCTCCAGATGAATGATGTGTACAATATAACACTGGTTGAGATAGATCAATGACATGAGATTTTAGGGTTTTAGGTTTTGATGCCTGATATTGAATTTGACGCAGTGTTTGAATGCTAACAGCTAAATTTTGCTTTTAAGCTTGGCTTCAGAAGATTTGGAGTCGTACTTTGTGAACCCTAATCGTTAGTACCAGTGGGACGTCAGGAAGAAGTCGACAAAATTATATTCGGTTTGGTAGTGTAAGTAAAAGTAACTGTACCAAAGTGTAGTGGCAAAGATGAATTCGCAACCAAATTGTGAGCTTTGTTCAGGGTGGCGAATGACTTGTTGTTTCAAATTTATTGTTGTCAAAACTACGATACATCCAACCAAACAAGAGGTATGCATAAATGAGGACTGTACGGAACAACTGAGTCATGCTTCAGGATGACCGAATGTGTAACTGACCAACGGAAATACCTTAACACTTATTGATTACAAAGTAACAGAGATACACTCCGAGAACAAAAGACGAACAGATAAGCATACTGGTAGAGTTGTTCAGTATTCAGTAATAAGGATAGGAGGTCTGTCGACCTATATTAATCCTTGCAGTTTGTAATACTGTGGAGGTCCAATCTCGTTTTGAATATATTAACAGATGGTGCTGATATTACGTGTTCCGGTAGAGAATTCCAGAAATTCACTACTCGGTGCGAAAAACGGAACTCCAGACGTAAACGGTTTGATCTCGGTTTTTGAGAATGTGAATTTCTTTCAAGAGTATAATTCCCCAGTCGATGACAAGTAAACATCAATAACCCCATTAACACACTGTAAATCGAAATGAATACTAGTTGTTTGTCAACATAGTAACGACACTTTCGTACATACACCAGCACCAGTGAGCATTGTATTACGTGTGAACGTCTCCAATTATAGCTATTTTAACCTATAAAGACTGAGTGGAACACCGACCCTCATAGAATGTATCAAACGAAGTTACAAATTAAAAATTTTCTTTCAAAAAAAAATGTAGGATTCATTTTATGCAGATCTGCAAGCAGTGAAATTCGAATTTAAAAAACGTGAACATTGAAGGACGTCCACTGAGGTATATGACAGAAGCGAAGCTTACGAGTATTGTATGGCGTCTAATAGTGATACGAAATGTCCTTAACAATGGATTGCATGTCTTTTATCATCTTGGGCATATACTTGCAAAAACGTCAAACATCTAACATTTTCCTTACAAAGACGATATTAGTTCAGTGAAGCCTTCGTCAAAATTACTAACATTTAAGTCTTATTCAATGCTTTACGCATAATGCAAACCTACTTCATTTACTGAGCAGTTAGACAACCACCGCAAAACGTTAGAGTACATCCATTGCATATACTCAAAACGCCACAACCGAACGACCTTGACAAATGCACGGAAATCAAATTTGCGCTGCGAACTGTAGTAAATCAATATAACTAGATTACTTGCCTAGAAGCCTAAGTGCAGTGAAGTTCAAGTGGTTTTGTAATGAATGAAAGAAGCTTTGACTTCCAGACTTTCTTACTTAGTATTAGATCATCATCGATTCCGTCAGGTGGGGATCTAGGTATAGTTAATAATATAAAGAGAAATATTACTATATAGCAGTAAATTACTGGCATGAGTACCCAGGTTTTCCCTTAAAAGACAACTGAGAATTCATATGGACTATCTCAGAGGGTAACAGATTCCAAAGCACAACTGCTCACAATGTGTAGAAGCTACACTACATCCCGTTCTAATATGTTGCGTCTCTAATTTCCTGATGATATTCCTTAGGTTTGCGTCAAATGTGAGCTTAAACGGATTTTTAGGGGGTTGCCTATGAATATTTAAAACGCTATGGGTCATTAGAAGTTCAATCCTTTAACACTTAGACTCCAATTTGTAAAGATTCTGTGATTTGAGGCGCTCTTCATAAAGTTTGGCTTCGAATCCTCGTGGCTCTCCTTGTGATAGTTCCCAGTGTGTTGTTATCTTTTAGGAACAAAGGGTGATTAAATTTATTGTCGTACTCTAATTACGGTTTACTAAAGCTTTAAGGATTAGATAGAGCTTTTTACTGCCAAACTTGCAAAAACTGCACTTCGATGTTACCAGTGAATTGTTTGATTGAAAAGGCCTTTCCGTTAAAGTGAGCGTAAGAATTTAGACCATAAGGTATCAGAACTAGATCTTTTTCAACTTGTGACGCTATTAGAAAAAGGTCACACAAGTTGTATGCGTAGTCTGCGACGCGTCTCATATGGACTACTTTACACTTTGAAGTGTTCCAATTTGGTCGGCTGTTATCCACCTAACTTTGAAGTAGAATCAGGTCCTTCTGAAATGCTTATTACCACGGTTCAAAATTATTTCCAAAGTTTCACGTAGTTAGCGAATAATAACAAATCAGAGGATACTTGCTGAGCAAGGTCATTCATATAAATAAAAAATTAATAGGTCCTAGTACTAAATCCTGATGGGTCTAACTAAGACATTATGTAACCTGAGAAAATTAACGTTTACCCCGATCAAAAACTTTAGGAGCTAATTCCATCTATATCTGATTCCAATAAATAATATTTCGTTAAATGAGTATTTAGTCAGGGCCAAATCTAATAGTGTTATGAGTTTACTCGAGATCATTCAATAGCCACACCACTAGTTGTAGAGATAGGTATTGCTAATGATTGGCAAAACTTCACGAGCTCGCAGAAACAAGCACACGCAGAAGCGAGAGGGAGGAGGAGACTAGAGAACATGCGAGCAAAATCCATTCACCCGAACGTGAGCAGATAAATTCAGACGAAAATAATTCACAGCCATGTGATCAGTGGGACAAGTAATGCATAATCGAAGGAAAAATAAGTGAATGGAACCCTTCAGGAATTATTTAGAGGTCATTCTTACATGTATTATTATAGCATGATAAATAAGTTACTAAATTACATGTGTATTCATATTCTTTTTTGATCATAACCCTTCACTTGACCTATAGGTTACTACCATACGATTAACCATTCCTAAATTATTCCAAATATATTACCTACAGTATCCAATACTCACTGTTGACTTGATCCTGAATATTCACTATTTTTCGTTTTACGGTGTTATGCAATCTTGTCTCCGTATATATATAAACCGAGTATGTCTGAGACACACGAATCATATTTCGAAGGCCCATATTTGTGTTCTGTATTGGACGGCCTGGACTAGGCGAGAAGCAACTATCCAGAGGACCGATGAGGATTTAGAATTGACTCAAGGCTTCTAGTACTGATCAATGGATTTTCTGTTAATCATCCTTTTATTAATATAAATATCAAACCCCTGACTTTCTGCTTTGACTAAAAATTGAGCGACATCGATTTGATTAGGCCTGTCCTTTACCTGCGGTTATAAAAAGTTTATTGTCAAGGCTAACCATCATCTCTGATGGAATATTAAGTTCACTTTCCACTCAACACCTTTTTCATGAGTCAGTAAAACTTAAATAATTTCCTTAGAATGGCTTCTTGTCGTCTCGATACCAATTAACAAGAAAGTACAACTTAGGTGCCATTATCTTTACTTGTACCCACTTTCCTTCTCACTTCTCCAAATACAGAGTAGTTATTCATTATTGCCTTCTAGATGCTTCCCATTTCACATCGTTACGTCTTTGTACATAGCAATATTCTAGCTTGTGAATTCTGTGAGTGACATGTTATTAAAAATAAAGTTGTCAAAATGCTAACGGTAGTAGCGTTCCTTGTACGTTTTTACGCATGACGAAAAACTTGCATCTTGGTTGTACGTTGAGGTACATACTACCATTAGTTGAAGTTTCAACTTTCCACAGAAAACGCCTGAAAAATTTTAAACTGTTATTCAATAGTTAGACAAAAGATTGAGACAACTGGTCATCTGCTGTTACCTTTTTGGTGCCAAATTCCGACTGAACTAAATATCCTATCAAGAATATAGCCTACGACAAGACAAACTTAACTTAATTTATGAATGCGAAATGGCTTTATTAGTGAATTATATGGTTGAACATGTAAACATTATAAAAACCACAACTATGAAATTATCGAAATTTAGTTTTTAGCAAGTATGTAGTGGTACCTATCCTAACCACACAAACCTCAAAACTGAACATGAGATAACTTGAGAAGTAGATATTCAACATTAAATGCGGCAAGGCCAGTGATAGTGGACGCGAGAATACTCATTCAATCAATCAGATGAAATGTCTCAGCTTACCATTTTCAGTCGTTCTGTATAGTTTGTTTTTGTTCACATTGAATTTATTACACTATATTCAGCCTAAATTTGTTGTTTACAAACGCCCAACGTTATGTCTCAAACTATTACAATATGACAAGTCAGAATAGACAATGATGTGACTTTCACGCAAGATCTTATGGATTAGGTAGTCATATCATTACAAATCTACAGCTTTAGGATTAGGTCTGTTATTGGAGAAGCACTAATAACTAATAAGACCATAAATTTACAAGTGTATATTGCTCAAGAAGGAGTTCACATATGAGTAAACGGTGGGACGACAATTTATGAACGAGCAAATCACAAGTAAGTGAATGCTTCTGTTATGACGGACCACGGGTAAACTAGAGGAAGCTGTAGGAGGCTCAGAAGGAGCCGAAGATATTCTATCCAATCTCCTTTTAAAAGAATGTTCTAGAATTCTTACGTGTAATTTCCCATTGGAAAATGCTAATAATCCCCTGAATGCTGATCGGTGGACTGTTATGTTGATTACGTTGTTACTAAAAACTATAAATACCTGACTATTTTGTATTATAATTGACACTGTCTGGAAATAATGTTCCTTTCATTATTCTTCTGTCTTCTCACTGTGACTTGAAAGAATTCTGGCGTTCTAGTGCTCACGTTATGCGCAATATATCAAGAACAACCTTATAGATATAACAGTTTCCAAGGTCATGGTGCCTTTTTCAGTTCCCAGTGCTCACGTATGGTCGGATTACGAGAGGAATTTAAAGAAGACACTATGGTCAAGTAGCTATGACGAATAGATTTTCGAAAACTTTCTTTATTCGTGGTTGAAGTGATCAAATAACTGCCGGACATTGTGTAGAATGTTGTAATGATGTATTTCTGTTACATATGCTGGAGGATAAAGTCTGCTAGAACGAGAACTTTTTCGCTCTGTAGCGATAGAAACTAACCCAGACTATGATAGTTGTTGTAAATCGGATAATAAAAGTACCAATAACACCGACTGAAACCTTTGCAGGTGTAATTGAAGCCTCAGCAGTTCAATAATATAGTACTGTCAAGATATATGCGCAATGAAATGACGAGTTTACGTGAATTGTTTTGAGGAGTCTGGAGGACCATAAAAGTAGACAAAATGGTTGCTAGAAAACAAAAATTAAATTGGAGAAGATGTGTTAAAGCAGACTGGGTAAGTAGCACTTCCATAAATATACCCAGCAGTTCCTCGGTATATATGATAGACCATCTCAAAAAGAACACTTCCAGCGCGTTAAGTACCAACAAATTACAACTATATTACCAATTATACCATAGTATATGCAGCCGGGAACCACGATATTGACGGATGGTTGGACAGCATACCTATGCTTACATACACCGGGCTACGTGCACCGTGTTGTCGTCCACAAGCAGCATTTTGTAGACACCACCACCGGAGTACACATAAATAATATAAAAGCCATGTAATTGAGGCAAAAGAATGTTGATGACCTTATCGTAGCTCTAGAGGCCGACTGTTATAGTCACATGGATGAGTTCTTGTGTCGTACGCATTATGACGTCAGTACTGCAGAGCACTTTATAACCTTAAAACGTTTTTAAAACATGTCAAAAATGTATACACTCTTTTTTCGTTTCGCATAATATATTCAGGCTCTATACCGACCGTTTTCTGATTAACTGAGATTTATCAAGATCACTGGTGTTCGTTTAAAAGTCACCCACAAGTTATGCTCTTGCCAGTGCTTCTGAAGTCGACCCTGCATTTTGCTGTACTTTACTGGATGTTAGATTAATTATCTTCCGCTACATACATTTATCTCATTTTGACATCTCTTTCTCTCTTTACTAGCTGGCACATAAACATTTCTAATATGCCTGGTACATACTTATATAGTTTGTGCTTCTTAATGTTTCCTGTTCAATCAAAAATGATTATCTTGGGTTACATTTTAAATTGTGTGATTCCCTGCTATCTATCATAATTGTGGCCTTATTTTTCGACTAACAAGGCACATAACCATTATTAGTTTGTAACTACTGTGTATTATACATGTCTGCTTTTGCGCAATATGAATCAGTTTTCATGCGTTTTTCGTCACATATCATCATTACAACCCAAATATTTGCAATTATGGCACCCCGCCAACTCGCAAAGCTTA